CGTTGATTGAGTCAAACCCACGTTACACGACACGAGAGATTGCAGAAACATTGAACATCTGTCATTCAAGTGTTCACACCACCTGAAGAAGCTGGGATATGTAAGCAAGCTCGATGTTTGGGTTCCACATGAACTCAAAGAAGTTCATTTGACCGCGCGAATAAACACCTGCACTATGCTCATTAAACATGAGAAAAATGATCCTTTTTTGAAGCGACTGATAAACAATGTAGTATGCAAATAGTCTTGGTTCCAACGTGATGATTCGTCTCAAGTGACTGAAAAGCAGACATTCATCAGAGGAAGGTTATACTCTCAGTTTGGTGGGGTTTTAAAGGTGTCATGTTTTTCAAGCTCCTACCAAGGAGCCAATCAATCAATTTGAATGTGTACTGTCGGCAGTTGGGACAGTTTGAACGAATCCATCATCCAGAAACGTCCAGAGCTTGTTATTGGTAAAGGAATTGTGTTCCATTGTGACAACGCGAGACCACAAGTTTGATCACCCATCAAAAATTATTGGAGCTTGGATGGGATGTGTTGCCACACCCACCATACTCGCCTGACCTGGTGCCATCAGACTTCCACTTGTCTTGCTCTCTTCAAAACTCCTTGCATGGTATAATGTTCAATTCAGATGAGGCTGTAAATCAGCACCTTGTTCAGTTTTTCACAAAGACAGGTCCTTCTATGAACGAGGAATTATGAAGCTCACTAAAAGATGGCAAAAGGTTATCGAACAAAACAGGCAATATATCATTGATTGATCTTTGTTCTTTATATAAATAAATGATCTTTGAAAAACATAGACAAATACGTCATGACTTTTCCGACAACCCAATATTAAGTGAACTGCATACTAAGGTTTGTTAGGAATATGATCAGAATGAAAAGAATGGTGCCTTCAGCTACTTATAGAATTTTACATGGTGAATTAGATTAACTAGAAGGGAATATAAAAATTATAAGACTGACGTCTTTTTTATAGGGCTGTGAACAATTCAAATTACGGTTGGAGAGCCCTGAGACTATTAGCACGGAGAAGCCCTCACTTCTTCCAGCCAACCAACCAGCAGTTTAAAAGTTTGCCAGAATATCTTGAAAACATGGTAATAAAGCTAGCCAAGGAATTACCAGTAAGTATTATAGATTAATTTTTTTCATATCCTTTAGTTGATGGTATCTTCTTTAAAACTGCTATTGCTGTTTGAATAAAGAGCTGAATTTAGTTTATCATGTGAAAAAAAGTTATCCACATACCCCCATGTTTTAGAATGATGAAAAAATTCATTTCAGTATACATTGTATAGGAAGTACATAAACTGATAAAGTAACTTTAATAATTTTTATACAGCATGTAATTTAATTAAGTCTGCAATACTTTGGAGTAAACTATTATCGTTTTTCCTGTTTGTCAATCAACTCATTAAATTGTCTTTTACCAGAGACAGGGTAGCAGTAGGCAAACTGCCCTGTCTACTCTGCTCTTTTCCAATACAATTTCCTCATTGTATTACTACTTTCTGGTACAGTGTGCATCAAACCAAACAAAGTTATTCAAGAATTTTTAAGGACACAGGTGCTCCCCCAGTCTTTTCTAGACCCTTGTTACTATATACTAAGTATTTGAAAGTCATTTTACCATACTTTTTACTGGCTCCTTTCTTCCCATGTCGGGGGACAAGGGGAGACTTTCCAACTTTCAGGTCTTTGGGTGCACTCCTTCTCCAGCTCAACCCTGTCCACCATTTTTGATACTTAACCTAACATTCACGTTTAACACTCTCAGGGGTAGAGTTTGGGCCCTGTACTTAGAATGTCACAACCGCTCTTATCTAAACAAAATGGATCCTCAGTTATCTTATTTTAGAAGTTGGCATTCTTTTAAACATTCTTTTTACTCGTTTTAGCCTCCTTCTGAAGAAATAAAAACAGGTGAGGATGAAGATGAGGAAGATAATGATGCTTTACTGAAGGAAAATGAAAGTAAGAATTGAATTTTCTTGGCTATTTTAGAAAAGCTTGGGGTTCTTTGTTGAGAGGTACGTTATTTGATTTAATCTACTTCTCAACTTTTACCATGTATCTCAGCTGTTTCTATAGTAAGGAATTTTAAAACACTGCTTGATAATAACTTAAAATACTACATTTTATACAATAAAATTTGGAAGTGATAAGGAAGGTGACTCTGATACCTCTGTTAATTCTTGTGGGGATTAGACGGGGGAAGCTGGTTTCAGTAGAAACCTTCACAACTATAACAGAGGCAACACCTTTAGCTTTGATTGATTTCCTAATGATCATGACTGTTAAGAACAGTATTCAACCCATGGGAAAAAAAAAAAAAAAGGAATGGTTTTACTTTTAAATCTTATTAAAGATGATTAATATCTCAGTGGCATCTTCCCAGTTCTGTTGTATACTCTAAATTGTATATGTCCTATACTTTGTACATAATTTACATTCCCTGTGTTTTGTAGGTCCTGATGTTCGGCGAGACAAACCTGTAACAGGGGAACAAATAGAGGTATTTGCCAACAAACTGGGTGAACAATGGAAGATTCTGGCTCCCTACCTGGAAATGAAAGACTCAGAAATCAGACAGATTGAATGTGACAGCGAAGACATGAAGATGAGAGCTAAGCAGCTGCTAGTTGCCTGGCAAGATCAAGAGGGAGTACATGCAACACCTGAGAATCTGATCAATGCACTGATTAAGTCTGGATTAAGTGACCTTGCAGAAAGTCTAACTAATGACAATGAGACGAACAATTAGCTTATTATT